GTGTGTGTGTGTGTGTGTGTGTGTGTGTGTGTGTGTGTGTGTGTGTGCGTGCGTGTGTGTGTGGGTGGGTGGGTGTGTGTCTGTGTGTGAAATCGGGGTCGGTTCTTTCTTCTGCTTTGCTTGGATGAAAAATGTTAGAAAGCCATACCATAAATCGTCGATTCCGTATTACGAGTATTTTCGTGAAACCAATTGCAATCGGTATACAAAACCTGACTATATTAGCGTATGTACTAACTCTACAGTGGATTTTCTTTCCGGTTATCTAATATGTTTTTCGTCATGATAATTAAAGTATTCATAGGAAATTTTCTTATTTTGTCTCATAACATTTTTATACTATCGCTACACGTGTCTCGACCAAATATGTGTGTTTTATTAAGATATGCGATGTGATGTGATGATGCCCGTTAAGAGCACAATGCCTAAATTTTAAAATATAATGTATGATATACAGGTAACGACAATAGCTATGTAATAGTTCTTAGCAAATAATACTTATATGCTTTACTTACTTACTTTTACGTTTATTTGTTGCAAGGAATATCTACGGTGCCTGGTTTCGTGTTGATTTTTATATGAACAACGGGCTTTAATTCGACTTTACACACGAAGTTTTCCCGATATTAGCTTTACTAAATTCTGGAACAATTCATCCTAGTTTTTCATCGTGGTTAATGGACAAATTAGTTGGTCTTGTAATAAATAGAACAAATTGTACACATATCAATGTGAGTACGTTATGTGTATACTTCACGTGCACGCGGATAGAGGGCGCCAGATGATCGTATCTGAATTGTATGAAAATAGTAGGTACCGTACAACAAATCCAAAAAAGTCACTACATTACATTTTTCATCCTAGATCTATTAACCCTCGCCAGAGGATGCGTAGCTACAAGTATTTGTCCTACTTAATATATTAGCAATATATCGAGATCCGACGTTTAAAACGAGCGCCTTTGCATAGTCCCATGTTTACTAATTAAGCTTTAGAGCGTCTAATTAACACGAACATATCGTGAATCAAAACAAGTAATGTCCAATTTAAAAGGTTAAAATGTGTTAACAAAATGTGGACTGCAATAATATATTTTTGTTATACTTGTATATTTGATATTCATCAGCTATTTGGGCTAAATAACCATTTTGCAGCTAACACAGTATTACAAATAATCTTATCACGATATTAACGAATAACGTCGTAATGATAATGTCATTCAAGATGTTGCAATTCATGTCTGTACATAATCTTGAATAATAATTGCATTGTACATCATGATGCGCTCAAAAATATAAGCTACCGGCAAGATCGCGAGGTTATCATAAAAAGGATACCCGAATTCACACTGTGTGTGAACACTCTTTAATCGGCGTACACAATTATATGAAGGTATTACCATTCTATTTTCAAAAAGCACACAGAATATCTTAAAAAATCGAAATCCTAAAATATTTTCGAAATCAATCGCAGTATAGAAATTGTAAACGAGCCGAATATATGTGCAACAAAAGCATCGACATACGATGGACAGTTATCATTGCGTATAATGATGCCATTATAGCTCCGTGAAATAATATAAAATACATCAATCTGTAATAATTGTATGCGGATGGTTCGTTTGAGAAACTTTCATAATAACGCGTTATAGTACATTGGATTTTGTGCAGGCTGGAATGAATGGCGCGCGCACTATATTTTGCTGCTGAGCTCTGTGTGCGAGCAATCATGTAGGCACGTACGCATCTTATATCTACTCTGTATGTCAGCTACACTACAACGTTAAACTTCTTGCATTATCTTAATTTTACATTCGTTCATCTCCGTACTTCCAACACTCTGCTCCGCAAAATGCCCCGTAAAATGTCTACCTCCCTAATTCGTGACTATGTGCGAGAGTAGAATCGCATTAGGTTTCATTAGTCGGTTTGGCGCAGTTGTTTAGCCAATTGATCCCCGTTATAGGACCGCCAACTAAAATATTTACCAATGTGAACATGAGACTGAAAGTGGCTGTGAAACACAACACGTGCCACTGCACCAGCTATATACGCTGTGTATGTCATACAGCTAGACAAGGTGTATCGGGTATAGGGCGATAATGTGTCGTGAAAACCAAGCTACGAAATACCAGGGGTTCCTACATACGCAGAATCATTGGGTTGTGTTCAATTGGCACGTACTAAAATATGGTAATATATCGAATTCGCTGAGGTGGCGCGCGATTCGATGAAGAACACATGCATTAGCAATAATTAACATCAGTTGGCAGCCTGAATATCATTTCGAAATATATTATACATACAAAAGCATGCACACACACACACACACACACACACACACACACACACACACACACACACACACACACACACACACACACACACACACATATAATATATATATATATATATATTTATATATCAGGAGTAGATAATAGGAGTAGATAATAGATATCCCTATTATCTACTCTCTATATATATATATATATTATATAATATATTATATATATATATATGTATAAAGAGAGGGGAGAATAAAAATAAAAGAGAGAAAGAGGGGACGGGAGAAAGGGGGCCCGATACGCGAGGTGATGCTAAGGATCATATTATCGTCATTCGTCTCATCGTTTTGTTGTTGTTGTTATGATTATTATCAGGAGTTAATAAAGACAAAGAAGTTTGACACGTATTTGGTACTGATTTCACTACATTTTGTCGTACGAGTGCGATGTGAATAAAAATCGTCGTCGTCGTCGTCGTCGTCTTTATTAACTCCTGTTATTATTATTATTAGCAGCAGCAGTAGTAGTAGTGGTATAATAGTGAGAGAAACCGAGCGAGAGCGAACCACAGCACGCCATACACGACCACACGAGAATGAATCTTTGGCATCAGCGACATTAATATTTTCATTATTGTTATCGTCTTTTAATTCCCTGAAATCTGTTATCATGGCCCATATGCGTATTAGTATATTTTTTACGTATACTAAAATTATTTAATGCAAAATTTAATTATCTACTTTTTCTATTTGAAATTGGATGCGATGAAATGATCTATTGTCTATTACTTATATTGTATTATCATAACGTGAGTTATTAGCGCCTAAATGTGGTCCCGATCGCTGTAATTCTGTAATTAGGTATATGAGTAATCGGAGGCATGTAAGAATCGGTAAGAATAAGTAGCGGTGCGTACATGCATTTTTCTCATTACACGCCACGCATTAGTCATTGGTTTATCAACGGCTGCAGTGATTTTGTTGGTTATATCTGCTCGCATGTGCGGTAGAAGTCGGATGATAAGGAACATACTTAAAACCAATTCAACACGAAAATAATTTTGCCAGCGTAGTTTATTCTGAAATACCAAGATGCAGGCAGGGTCAAATCGACGTCATATATATATATATATATATATATATATATATATATATATATATATATATATATATATATATATATATATATATATAGATATATATAACTATATATAGACTTGTACACTTTTACACAAACGCGAAGAAACCAACGTGCAGCTGTTGCAGTGGTTCGTGGGATATATATATATATATATAACTATATATAGACTTGTACACTTTTACACAAACGCGAAGAAACCAACGTGCAGCTGTTGCAGTGGTTCGTGGGGGTTAATAAAGTGACGAGCCGGAAAGATTCGTCACAGGTAAAATGTTTATTCTTGAATTGAAGTTTGATACACCGTCGGCCATCGCGAATTCCAACCGTAGGCATCTTGATGGATCCGTCGCATGTACGCGCATATTCATTTAACCAAAGATTCAAGCTGCTATGACAAGCCCTACGCAGCAATAGATACGTGAGAAATTAACTAAAGCTATAGATGCACATACGCATGTATGTTCTTGCCCGACATTTTTTGAGTATGCTGCATTTTGATTACCATACCTTATTGATACGTCATCGAAAGTACATGGAAACTGTAAAACTGGATTACATCAACACATAACTGAAATGAACTTTACACGCCAATATTCGTTTCCTCGCTACATCAGTGCCTCTATATGCCGCCGCATTTTTTTCATGCCTATAGCACTGAGCTGACGTGTCATTTGAAAACATTCCCGCAGTAAAATAGGATCTGCATTTACTTCGCAAATTAACGCAATTGGCGACTTGTGCGGCGTTTCATATGACTCGGTCAGCATGGAAGCTATTCCGTATATTCTGAAAAGTTCACATGGCTGTGTTGTGAAATAAATGACGTTGTACAAACGAACCTCGCGCAGATATAGATTACAGTAACACAAACGACAGCGTTCGGATTTCGAATATAAATTAAGATATTTGAGCAGCATAATACGACACGTTTATTTTGCACAAAATATAAGCTCCCTACAATGACTCATACCAAGCCAGCATGCTGCGCACTATATACGTACTGTATAACGATAAAACAGAACAGTCACATTTCTTTACAATATATACAACTTATCGTTCCCGGGACTCTTTACGCGTAAAGCTACGATTGGGAACTATACATGCACAAAAACACCACGTAGTGAGCGGTCGCTAGACCGTTGTGAATCCAACAAAACAACAACAGTTTTATAAATAGGATCGTGTTTGTAATTTGTACAATATGTCATGATCAGCTTTATGATAACAGCAACACGAATCTTTCCCACCACTGACGCTGTCTCCAATCCTGCCACTCCACAAAATGCTATTTGTCGTTTTACGTACAATCAACCTGATTATTCATTTCCATCAGTGAAAGCGTAGACATTTGTGGAACGTGAGTCTTAGTACCTGCAGGATTGAGAGGTCAGCCGGATGGAGCCTGCGTCACTTTCCCCTCGCGGGGTACACGGGACGCCGTCATCTCGCGACATAGTGGCTACGGCTACGTGTTGACCTAGTCGATGCAGTATTGCGCTGGACCCGAAGCAGTCTTACAGCACCTGAAACTTCCAAGAGCTTTCGTCACCGTATTTAAGGCAGTCATTTTGTCCGGGCATGTTGCGAGATTGATGGTGATGCGGCAGGCCAGCGTGCGACATGTGAGGGGACATGTTGGTGCCGCTCATCTGGTTGAGTGTGGTGACTGGTGGTAGCTGAGGCATCGCGGGCAAATAGTCCATGTTGCCGTAGTAGGACGCCGGCCCGTAGTTTTGCGTGGCGTAGCAGCCGCCTCCCTGTGCGTTCGTCATGGGGTACGCGGGTCGCTGCATGCAGCTATTGCTCATCGGGTCCGGAGTTATGGACGCCGGGCTCCAAATGGAATTCGCCGACGGTGGCACAATAGGCCCGACGCCGGTTATGACGGGCGTCTTGTACGGGCTTTCCTTGTACAGAATCTCGGCTGAAGACGACGGCGTGCGTGTCGTCGTGGTTGAGGTGGTTGCGTTGGTGCTCGTTGGAGTCGACGGTGACTTTGCCTTCTTCGGCCGCGCTTTGTTCTGGCCGCCATTCTGCGCCTGCTGCCGGCATTTTGCTCGGCGGTTTTTGAACCAAACCTGTGAACAAAAGAAGTCGCCTGGTTATACTAAGTTGGGTGCTAGATGTGGATATACAGTAAACTGTGTAGATATTTCTACGCGTCTATGTCTGTCTTCGTCTTTGTCTATCTTTATGTCCATCCCTTTGTTTTATATGCATACCGGTGTGACACAGTGAGACGGTGATGATATTCGAAACTGTTATTTATGTGTTTCGGTATGTGCGGATAGAGTATGGCAATATGCATGTTTTTTGTAGATGTAGGTGTTCGAGCTGGGGGGACATCATTGTAGTAGACCAGGAAACCGTCAGTGACCCTTTTCGCAAACGCTTTCTGGGCATATCTGTTATGTTTTCTCGCCGAATGTAACAAAATTGCTTTTATCAGCGAACAGGTTTCTAGTATTTACTCTGTCGAGAAGGCAGCATTCCTGCCATGTCAGTAATTCGTGTTCTCTATAGCACTGTGTGCACACCGTGTGCGCAGGAGGACACGTCTCAGTCGTCTGCACACACCGCAGCGCTAGACTGACAGCCTCCTGAATTGCCAGGAGCGCTAACGCTCACGTCGGCCGCTTCTCCACGAGCTGTAAAACCTTCAAGTTTCCTCATCGCGCTCACAATTAGCGGACAGACGCTAGATCGGTACTGACCCAGTGTGAAGGGGGCATGGATCTGCAAACGCATATGCGATGCATCGCCTGTAGCTAACGATGTTAAATGCATGATAATGATTTCAATGCCGTCTCTGTTATTATTCTTGTGGTGCAATCGCGTTTTAATGTTTTTCTCTTTATATTTTCATGAGCGATTTTAGTTATATCGTGTTGACATTAGGGGCTGTTGGATTTGTGCAGAATATAGTAAACACTGCTTGGAAAACTGAGTCAATATTGTATTTTCTTCTTTTAAAGAATTTGGTAAATTTTACGTTTTGTAATGCACTGTTCTATTTGTGTTATATGGAATATGAAATGAAATTAAATAATCAACGACTGAACGCATTTTAAGAAAATATCATTATGCTAAAATAATAATATCAAAACCAAGCGGATGTCGAAGAAAATCTTACCTGTACACGAGACTCGGGTAAATTTATTTTCAGTGCCACCTCCTCTCGCATGAATATATCAGGGTACCTAGTCTTCTGGAATAAGGCCTCTAGCACATCTAGTTGTGCGCGGCTGAATGTGGTCCGCTCCCGTCTCTGCTTTCTGCCCTGGTTAGATGCGGACGCTATAAGCAAATGTAAAACTATAGTTAGTTAAGGGTCGACAAACTCAAAATCTCTGAATCACGTGCCACTCTAATTACGAATCTTGCTTGCGTCAGCATGCAGATAATTCCTGTACAAATGTCGTGTAAAACACACAGCACCGTAACGACGTAGCGTAATCGGAAACAAAATGCATAATATACTAGAGAATGCGGAGTCGTAGATGCACGCGCACGCGGCGTGGACGCGTTAACATCGATTAAATCATGTATGTCCTGCGCAGTACATATGGGAATCGAGGCAGCATACAATGAACGATTTTCTCATTTTAGGGGTAATTAGGAAGGTGACACTCGACGCTGTGATCGTATAACAGCGACGCATTCTTCGCCGCGATAGTAGCACATTAACTATTTACGAGAAACCACAAAAAGTTTATGAATTTTACATGAAGCGTCAAATTGCGCTGTTTAAAGCGCAAACAAAGAAGAGACTCGCAGTGTCTCGGTCACAGGGGAGAAGCGCGTGCATGCGGAGGGAAGTACGAGCGAGTTGCGCCGTCTTCTAAATCCTGGCGGAGCGATATTTATAAATAATTACTCGGGAGAAATGTCAAAGGAGGGAGAGGAGTAATGCCTCACTAAGTCACGCCGAGCGATATATATATATATATATATATATATATATATATCTGCTGTTTTCTTGCTGACACATTGCGAGTAGGTGCGAGGTCGCTTGTGCCTCCGATGATATCTATTATTGTCACCTAGCGTTTTTATGTTTATTATTTATGCATTAGGTATATGATACGTTGCTGTTGTAGCTGCTATTTGAATATTGTGGCTAAATGTTTACCGGATTTGACGAATCTACGTGTAAATTTGAGTTAAAATTTCCTACGGACACATACGAAGTGTAAACGACGTATTCATAGTGTTTAACCTGTAGATAGGCTATACAGATCTTGCATAATAAGTGAAATTATAACTGCGTGTGCCGTGATCGGTAATATCCGGTAGTATACCTGTCAGTACTCATTCCTATATTTAGCGAATCAATTATTGTCAATATTCGCACCGCGTATATTGTAATTAATAATAATAATAATAATAATAATAATAATAATAATAGTAGTAGTAGTAGTAGTAGTAGTAGTAGTAGTAGTAGTATAGGTGCAATAATCAGAATGATTTTTTTTTTACTTTCAGGCATAAATAAAAGATAGTTGAGCAATAAGGCGACGTTATGCATATCGGGGATGTCGAGCGGTAAATGCACGTTTTCGTCAAGAATCAATGCAACGGCTGTATATTCGGGTAAACAACTATAATGTACAAATGTTTCGTTTACTTTCGTAGTTACTCTCATCCGTTTGCCGCGCTTGCATTCCAGATGACACGCGAAAAAACGACTCCTGCCCTTCTCCATTGACATCAAGCTGGTTAGGGACAATTCGGGAAAACCGGCTATGTAAACAATCGCGGCCAAATTTGATGAGTTGTCAACACACGGGTGCAAACAGTCGACTCTTAATTGAAAGGTTTAACTAACGCGCCGACTGGAAACATACACACAGCGTGCTTGCCAAAGCCGGGCCCAGCCCGTTGACACCTTTTAATGGCGAGGTGACAAGCATACGCTAACAAAAGCTCGATTGACGACAGCGCGTTGTCACCATGTCCCGCTGGAACATTGTCATACAAATGACGTCGAAAGAAGCGACTGTCGTACTTGGCACTTGTGCCAGCAGCGAAACAATAATATAGACACGGTTAGCAAGTTTACAGCCAGGCCGTATTAGCAGTGGGCACGCCTGCGTTTTGTTACTTCTCTGGTTCCGTTTTGTTGGCGTATACTATGCGGGGATACGCACGGACATAAACGAATGGGTATAAGCGTAAAGACATTAGATGTGTCTGGTATGGATGTATCTTGGTAGCATCTGAGATGTGCATGCACGCGCGCACACACACACACACACGCGCGCGCACACACACACACGCATACACACACACGCACGCGCCCGCACACACACACTCACGCGCGCACACACGCACGCATACACACACACGCGCGCACACACGCGCCCGCATACACGCACACGCGTATTAACCAATAATCACTGGCTGACACTACCAGCAATCCATGAATAACAGGGAAAGCGCGTCGACACGCGTTGCCTAAAATTGTTAGTGCGTATACTGTTGATGAGATATAACTATAATAAAAGGGCACCACTAGGAAGTTACGTGCTAATTAAAAATTAAGAGTAAGCGTGTTTCAATAATATCTTCAAATCTAAGTCGTTTTGATCATTAGTATTCAATCGATCTTCAGACAAGTGAACATCGCTTGCAAACATTGACATAACTTCCTATTGCAACGCGATTATGTTTCATATTATTTCATACGCAAGGAAGAGTAGCGTGAAGCGCTACCAAAGCAACAATTCAAACGCTCGTAAATTGAACGCGACGCCAATATGACAGTAAGGAAACCGGTTTTGCGTGACCTGTACTTTACAATATCAAACTAAAATATTTCACAGCTAGCTCCACCTATGCGCCGGGTGCTAGCCCCTCTCCGCTCTACATATATGACGTTGTACATGACATTGTGACCGCAGACAGAAGAGCAACATTGCCGAAAAGTCACACTACAGACGCTGTTTGATTCGTAGCCGCGCTTGGAAGGAGCAGAAGGAGGTGAAGAAAAGAGCTATCGTTGCCCTGGGAAAAGTAAACAGTTTATGCCGCATCTCTATCACGCTCAGCAAACTCGCGAACTCGAAACCTCCCGAAAACCCGGTTTTCGTAAGCTAACACTCGGCTGCTTCGTGACCGCACGGGTTTATGCCACTCTTTGAACGACACCGCTTCGCGCCGAGGTGCCACGTTGATTGGCAGTCAGAGAAGAAAAAATGCCCCCATGCTATATAGGTAACGCGTTCATCATTTTAGCTGTCTATCATTAAATGCCTCTTAATTATTATTTTAAAGCTTTTTACATCGCATTCAGGAACGCCCGAAGTGAACACGGAGAGGCACGCCAGATGTCTGTATACTGCGTATTTGTTCGCACAAAAAACGTTCATACTGATTTAATAGAATGAAACCTTGTTATCCATAAATAAAAAGACGCGTCAAGATTCATAGTCACTTGGTCAAAAAAAATTGGTATAATTCACATTACATGAGCAGATAACATGCTGTTGTCGTCTCTATGTTTGAGCTGTTGCAGGAAAACGAAACTTAAATACCGCAAACTCGAATAAGACGCAAATAATGCGGCAAACAATGCTGAGCGACTGACTAGTCAACACACCGGTTATTGGAAGCAATTTACGGTATTTTTTGGGGACAATTTACAGCTTAGTAATAACCCGCACAATACCATGTTATTTGCGAGCTAAGATAGCGCAGGTTATCATAAGGGACACACACTGGGTTCACTGGGAATGCTTTGAACTTTTTATTTATTCTCATCGAAGTAGCTATATCACACACACAATTATATATATAATATACTATATATAAATACAATATAATATACCGCCACGGTCACCATGTATAAGCCATGACCATGCATACCTCATTTAATTCTAGATATGCATGAGATCACAATAATGCACCCAGGATGTATCGCGTAGAACACTAAAGCGATGAATGTTAACTACGTTATATTGTTATAATATAATTACATATGTATATATATATATATATATATATATATATATGTTATAAAAAGAATAGTTATAATAAGTAAATATATTTAACTTATATTATATTAATATCATATACTAGCATAATCCGGCAATTGGCTCGCAGCCACTATGTAATTCATGAACCTTTTGTGTGTACTACGCGAAAAATATGAATGCCCGTGCATTTATATAGCGTCAATACTAACACGCACTCTTTAGTGACCTCAAAATATATTAATTTAGCCAGTATAATATTTTTGTTTTCCCTTTCTATCTATCCATACTCATATATATATAATATATATATATAAAATAATATGATATATATAAATATAGTATATATATATATTGTGTGTGTGTGGTGTGTGTGTGTGTGTGTTGTGTGTGTGTGTGTGTGTTGTAGTGTGTGTGTGTATGTGTGTGTGTGTGTGTGTGTGTGTGTGTTGTGTGTGTGTGGTGTGTGTGTGTGTGTGGTGTTGTGTGTGTATGGCGTGTGTGTGTGTGCATATATAAATCGCATAAAATTTGTAACTACGAGGTAGCCGCACGGGCCCGTGCAGGTAGTTCAGAGACATTTTGAAGAGTTGAGAGCAGGGCAGCCGCGTTGACAGAGTACGGTGGCCCTTTAGGTACGTCCCGTCCATGCCTCCGGCCGACGAGTGGCCGTACCATAACGCCGTTTTTCGCGTGCGAACGTCCATGCCGTGGACTGCGGAGACAAACCAGAATAATTCGACGCAAACACTCTAAAAATACGTAGCGAAAACAGCAAGTACGCGTGTGTATAAATTGACCTTCTAGTATTGGTTGCGCTGTTAACCGGCACGACTTTAACCGAAATCGGCGTGCCACAGGTCAAGCGGAAGCACCACATCCCGACACATGTTTCGCACACGCTGCATGAGAACACGGCAATCAGGCACAAATCCTCTCCCAGGGAATTAAGAGTAAGTCCGTCCGTCCAGATGACAGGTTATCCCACAACATCAGTACGCAATATAGGTAGAACTGAGAAGTCACTCAACTTGAACTAGCACCCAGTTGCTGTATTAAATTAGTGGACAAGCTAGGTCTGCCTGCGTCAGCCGACCACCTGGGCACCACCCAAGGACAGAAGACTACTTCGGAGGCCGCTGTGGCCTGTTCCAGCGAAATTCACGTGCGTTCGCCTGACGCCAGTCAGCATTAATGCAGGCTGCAGCTACGCAGTGCACTACCCATAATTGCCTCGGCAACCAATCACAGTGCCGAAGTGAGGCTATACTGCGTGTATTGTGTTGTGAGGTGACAATTAAGCAGCCGATATGCTGCTTCCAGTGCAATAAAAGCTACGTCACATTTAGAGGCAAAGAATGATAGTTCGTCGGAGATTGTTGATTCTATATGTGTCACCTAACTAAGTTAGACATCACCATACGACACACGCACACACTCTTTATATATATATTACACTATATATATATATATATATATATATATATATATATATATATATATATGCGCGGGTGTTTGTACGTGTGACATTTGACATATCCATGGGCGCATTTAACGTTGTAATAGCGACGGTGGATTAAATGTGGTTTTTTAAACGAAGCCTTGCTCTTGCCCCTGCACTGCGGAAATATGCATGCGCCCCGCCATGTTAGCAGTCACGGAGTCGTGACGTTATGACGATTTCGCTCAGTTCCTATTCTCTTCGCGCGCGTCAAGCAAGCAAGCCGCTTGACGGACCGACGGCAAGCGAGCGCCAATTAAAAGTCAATAAATTAATTAGACTGGCAGAGGAGCCGTTTGCGTGTGCTACTGCGGAACGGCGATAACAGCCGATAAGGACGCATCTTGTAGCTGGCCTGCGACCTGCGTGATGGATGACCGAGCTCGATATCCATCATGCTTACTGTCATGCGCAGCCAGGCGAACAGAACTTGACCAGCGCCGTAGCACGCGCGCCGTGTTTTTCTCGAAAGCGCCCAGCGCGAGTTACTGAAAAGAGGTAGGAAACGGGAAAAGAGCGAGCAAGCGAAGGGGTGGGAAACTCAAAATAATAGAACGAGCGAGAGAGCGAGTAAATATGGCGTCAAAGAGCGAGAGTCGAGGTGAGAGAGAGATATACAGACTGAGAGACAGACAGATAGACCGACAAACACAGATACAGACCGATATACATGCAGATAGTGGCAGAGGGATCGACGGACAGATTGACAGACAGACAGACAACGTGACATCAAGATGCATCCGAAGACGACGAATCTCACCGTTATCCGCGACACTTTGCAATAAGTACGTTAACAATATGCGCTTGTTTGTGGGCTGATTGAGCAGGCGAATAATGTCCCCTAGAATTCCCTCGGCGGCCATAAACACTAACGAGATAGGCGGGATCCAGGCAGTTCAACTAGCTGTAAACGTCAATCACTCGACTAGAAGCGTTCCGTCACCTTCGCGGACGCGCGCGTGACAAGCAGCGTGTGCGAGAGTACGCTAGCGCGCTCTTCGTTCTCTCCGTCAAGCCGACCCGACAGCTGCCATTTGGCTTACTTGACACATGAAAAACTGCGGTGAATTTACGTCACAGTCCGCCATGATTAACAAACGTTGCGAATGGCGTCATGGCGAATGCCGATCGGCTACAAAATGGCGGTGAACAAACAAACATTCGGCTCCCGACCGCCTTTTCCGCAAGATTCAAATGCGGTTCTTCCTCTCAGCTAGAGTCTTTGAAGTCTTTGAGTTCTAGCAGGTTGGCGGTCGTACACAAGCCCTCGCAATACGTTGATCGCAGAGCGCGGCAAGGCAAAAACCAAGCTGCTGCAACCGCTTCTCCTCTTTTTTTAATTAAATGTATTTCTGACTGAGCACGAGAAATATTTCGCAGAAGTCAACGAGACGCGCGCTCTCTCTCTCTCTCTCGCTGGACCTTCAAAGGCAGCGCCGCTGATTAGAGAGGTGTGTTCGCGAGAGCAGGTAGACGGCAGCAGGGTTCCCCCTGAGCGCGCTCTCTATGACACTCCGTTCTGCACGTGTGAAGGAGCGACCGATTGTTTCGGTAATTAAACATCGCACGGCGCACCTGATCTCGCCTTGTTTTCCGCCTCTTACGGGCGTGAGCTTCTCATTCATTCAATTCATCTAATTGCCTATCTCGTTACTGGTGTGGGCGTGCTACGCACATACCCCAGATTGCCGCGACTGCATCTGCGTCATGCATACATACATCCCTGCTGATCGCTGCTGTTATTATACGCCCCTTTGTTCATCATGAATATTATATTTAGTAGCTGTTCTCATTGCCAATATAAATGATAAATGTAAACATTATGATTCAATGTTGATTGAAATCAATTCCCTGGATTATCAATGCCGCTAATCGATTTATCTAGACGATACGACGTCGTTCAAAGTACATTACGTTTCAATCGGGTGAAATGCGATGCATTTTAATTGCGCTTGATAACGCCTTTCGTTATACGTTTAGGTGGCAGCCGTTGCCGTACGATTCGAAGACTCTGCTTATGGTCGCCAACAATGTTTTCGCCGTTGTTTGCATATATAGCAGGCAATGGCACGCGCGCCATGCAGCGCAGCGTCCCTCTAGTAAAGCTATATACGCATATGTAGCGGTCGTGTATTATTCTACAATGAACAGCACCCCTGCCGCCTGCAGCGAGAACCAATACGGGATAAATCACCCTTTATGTGCGAGGAAATACGGATTTCTCATTAAACAAGTGAATACACACGCATACACACACGTGTGCGTGCGTGCGCGCGTTTGTTATATATATATATATATATGTGTGTGTGTGTGTGTGTGTGTGTGTGTGTGTGTGTGTGTGTGTGTGTGTGTGTGTGTGTGTGTGTGGTGTGTGTGTGTCGTGTGTGGTGTGTGTGTGTGTGTGCGCGTGCGCGTGCGCGTGCGTCGTGTCGTGTGTGTGTAGGTTAGTTTAGTTTAAATTTTTTAACTT